GGCTACGGACAACGCCATCCATAAACCGTTGCAAAGTTTGCCCGGCGTTGCATAAGCCGAAAGGCATGCGTAGGAACTGTAACATTCCGAACGGCATTGTTATTGCGGTCTTAGGAATATCCTCCGCTGCTACGGGTATTTGATGATATGCTCGCACTAGATCTATTTTAGAGAAAATGGTAGCACCATACAGGAAGGTCGTGTCATGAATGTGCGGGACTGGGTAACGGTCTGGCACGATTACCCGGTTCAGCGCTCGATAGTCCCCGCAAGGGCGCCAATCACCGTCTGTTGATTTTGGGACCATGTGAAGAGGTGACACATACAGGCTGGATGAAGGACTTGCTATCCCGAGTTCCATCACGTGGGCAAGCGCCTGTCGAGCCAACCAAAGCTTCTCGGGTGACAGGCACCGTGGTCGCGCATAGCCGGTGGGCCTGTGGTTTCAATGTGATGCAGGACGCCGTGCTTTAATTTTGGAAATGCCTGTGGCTGTCGCGTCAGCTGTGAACCCTTGTAGTATTGCGGTGAAGTATGCTTCTCCAACCGGACTAAGCAAGGCCAGGCTGATAGGGGGGTGCCAACACGGTGTGCCTTGTACCACTCCCCAAGAAACAGGATTTTGAAGTCGTCTGTTGCGAACGTTGACAGCAGGCCGACGAACAGGAGAAAGTGTGCGCCTTGTATGGCGAATTTGACATCAGCAGCTATGAACACCCAGCTAACGTTCTGCCGAAACAGAAGTTCAGCGACAGTGAACGATGACCATATGTTGTTATCACCATGTTACTGACAGCTTGCAAGGGCGATGCACTAGGTTTCTTTCTTTCAGCTTGTGACGCCGGTATAACGCTCACCTCGGCATCTGTGTCAACTAAGAAACGTATTCTGTTGTCGCGGTCGGTAATAAAGAATACCGAGGGACGACTTGGAGGCAATGTAGTAGCACTGGTCGCCCTCAGCACCTGCCACGGCTGTTTCTCGAGTGCACGCACAGTGGGACACATTTACCCGCACTACTTCCGAATCTCTGATGGTACCAGCAGATATGCTCGTGCTGCTTTTGCGATAGCGGCTTGTTAGGCTCAGTTATCGTTTGCGCCCTCCTGCTTGCATGCAAAGCTGATACTGTTTCGGCAAGCCGAGAAATCTCCTCACGCATGTTTTGAAGTTCGTTTAGAGGCTGTTGGGCTCGCAAGGCAGCCATGGGTGTGGGCGGGGTCATTGCTACCAGTTTGTCAGCAAGTTCGGCGGCTGCGGTTAAATCCTTGTGCTCTTAGGCCGCCATGACCATGCGGACGCATGAAAGCAACTTTTGCAAAAAAAGTTCGTGGAGCAATGCTCCATCTGTCGTGGTTGATGTCTTGCCAAAAACTGTTGCATGTGCCCCAAAAGCTGACTATGAGTACGGTCGCAGAGTTCCGTACCGCAAAGCAATTGCTACAGTCGTTGCGATTCAGAGGGCGTAACTCGGCGAACAAGGGTTTCTCTTAGCATTGCATATACATTTTCGACAGGTGGTGCGAGCAACAGATCTTCAATTTCACTGGCTATGACGGGCGGCAGACTGCTGACTACGTAGTGGTATTTCGTAAGTTCTGCGGTGATTCATCTGGCTGCGAATCGAGATTCCACTTGCATGAACCAAAGTGCAGGGTCCGCAGTCCAAAAGGGGGGCAGCTAACTGTAGACTTGGTAGACTGTCGGAGGGGCGTCGGCCATGGACGTTGAATCCATATTGCGGCTGGTTTGACACTCCGGTCACTGTGTCGGTATTCCGGGTGACCAATGTTGAGACGCGGCACTCGGCAGAGCTGCACAAGTGAACAACTCGCGCCCAAACAACTGACTTGCATTATCACCCTTCATCTTGAAGATAACTTTTTCGTGCGGGCGCATGCACTCTCTGCCCCGCACACAGAAGTGCCGTTTTGCGTCGCCACAGTACTGGCATATTGCTGTCGATGACATGGACCGCGAGAAGACTGCTTTTGTGACCCCTGATGGTCGGTCTTTACCAGTTTACAGTCATGCCGTTCAGATTATGCAATGCTCCATCCACCTTCGAACGAACGATTGATACTCTCTTGCGCGGGTTCAAGTGGTCAATTTGCCTATGTTACATGGACGACGTCATTGTGTTTTCCCCGACCTTTGAAACGCACCTCGACCACCTTTCCTTCATCCTTTGTTTTTCGTAATGCAGGACTGCAACTGAACTCATCGAAGTGCCACTCCTCTGGCGTACGCCCCGATCCTGACAAAGTTCGAGCTGCGAAAAACTTCCCCGTCCAGACCAGCGCTAAGGAAGTCCGCAGCTTTTTAGGTCTATGTTTTCACTTCCGGCATTTTGAAAACAATTTTGCGGACGTGGCCCGACTTCTTAGAGACTTCCTGAAGAAGGATGTTTCATTCTCTTGGTGTGCTGCGCAAGCTTCGGCGTTCTCTAATCTCATCGCGTTGCTCACAACACCATCTATTCTGGCCCGTTTTGACATGTCTGCCCCAACAAAAGTTCACACTGATGCCAGCGGACACGAATCGGTGCTGTTTTGGTCCAGAATCAAAGCGGCTGCGCCCGCATTATCGCATATGCCAGCCGTGTGCTCTCTGCGGCCGAGCAGAACTACTCGATCACCGAACGGGAATGCCTTGCTCTAGTTTGGGCGGTTGGCAAATTTCAACCCTACTTACATGGTCGCCGTTTCACCGTCACAACTGATCACCACGCCCTCTGCTGGCTCTCGTCGTTAAAGGATCCCACTGGGTGTCTTGGTCGCTGGGCACTACGGCTCCAAGAATATGATTACTCAGTGTCTTACAAATCTGGCCGTTTACACCATGATGCTGACTGCTTGTCCCGCCATCCAGTGGACCCCCCGAGACTTTAGATGAAGCGCCGCCATGTGTGCTCTCTCTCTCTGCTTTGAGCAAGATCCGTGATGAACAGCGCCAAGATCCCGTCTTGCATGACATTATTGAGAAGCTGAACTTTCCGACGCCCCATCCGTCTACTCAAATGTTTGTGCTTAAAAAGGCACCTTGTACCACTACAATGTCAACACAAACGGGTGCGAACTGCTCCTTGTGGTGCCTTTCCACTTACGTTCGAGTGTTATCGCCCAGCTCCATGACGTCCCCACCGCCGGACACCTTGGTCTCTCTCAGACTTACAACCGCGTTCATCGCCGATTTTACTGGCCCAAGCTTTATCGCTACGTCGTCGCATGCGACCAGTGCCAACGTCGAAAAAACGCCCTATGAGTCCTGCCGGACTGCTCCAGCCACTTTATCTTCCTATTGACCCCTTCTTTCGAGTTGGTCTTGACCTCCTAGGCCCTTTCCCTTAGTCTACCTCCGGAAACAAATGGATAACTGTCGCTACGGATCATACAACCCGGTACGCCATCACACGGGCTTTGCCAACCAGCTGTACCACAGATGTTGCCGATTTCCTTCTGTACAATGTCATCCTCCATCATAGTGCTCCATGCCAACTCCTCACAGATCGTGGACGCTATTTTCTCTGCCGAGCTATTGACGACCTGCTTCCCTCTTGCGAAACCAAACATAAATTTACGATAGCCTACCATCCACAAACTAATGGGCTTACCTAACGATTCAACCGAACTTTAACTGATATGCTCTCCATGTACGTCTCCTCTGGCCACCTAGACTGGGACGTTGAATTGCCCTGCACGAGAAGTCGCTCAGAAATGCCTCTTAGCATCGCAAGAGCAACAGAAGCAACGTCACGACGCACATCATCGCGACGCCTCCTTTGACCCGGGTTCCCGTGTGTTGTTTTGGACCCCGACTCTGCATGTTGGTCTCTCTGAGAAGCTGCTTTCCAATACTCAGGACCCTACCCCGTTTTGCGCCAAGTGAGCGACGTTACCTACGAGATAGCACCGCTGAAGTCGTCATCTCCCTCCACTCCATTGTCTACAGACATTGTTCATGTCTCCCGACTTGAGCTCTTCCACTCCGCAACACCATAGAAAGCACCTAGACGGTGCTTCTGCAACCGGGGGTCATGTTACAAAACTACATCACGCTGAAGAAGCAAGACAGACAGCGAAAAAGACGACATGATTCTGGGATGTGGGGCACGCTCTCGCTTGCCATCTCGGCTCAGGCTTGGCGTCGTGCAAATATATCACAGCTGTCACCTTGTTTCTCTGTGTGCCCTCCCGTAACAATATGACTGGGCATTAGTACAGTGAACAGACTTTCCGGCTGCAGAAATGAGACTGCGGCAGCAATTTTGTGTAGTCACCACCTTGATCACCACAACACGTGCAATCGGACGAAGAACATCTACCATACAGGCAATGACAACAGAGCTAAAACGAAGAACAACCGGCGTCCTGCCACTGTAGTGGAGAGTAGTTTCCTTTTTTGGAAACTTTCACGAGTACTATTATGTCAACAAACCAGTATTAAGTTGATCTAGTAAGGAATATGATATTTACGAATGATAAAAGTTACGTATACGTAAGTTAACGGCCATCTCCCTAAAAGTCCCTGGCCTCGAGACTAATGACTTGGTCCGAAATCGTATGTGAATGCATTTCGATAACTCATTTTAACGAAAGTGTCATTTTCCTCAAATGAAATTAGTTTCTTCGTGTGAGAGCAAACAAGTGAAATTACAGACGAATGGCATTCACTGTAAATGACATTAGATTTGCCTTGCGACAGGGGTATAACAGATATATTCACAAACATGCCTCTGCTCCAGCTGTCTCCTTGGCTCTGCTGGGCAACCCTGCCTCTTGGAAGAAGCAGTTTGTTTCATCAGTGCTAGTTAACAATTCCTGAGTTACAATTAAGTAGACTAAGGCTTTCACTGTTGGCGTGTAGAAAGAAGCTACTGAGATGTCTGTCCAATGTAACTCAAGTTTTAATCAAAGGTAGTAACAGCTTTGTCAGCTCTATAGGTGTCAACGGAGGAGCAGCTGAAGTTCAGGAATGAAGTGCCACTTGGTCACACTCACTTGTTGAAGGTGCCCCTTTTCTCCAGGCCAATGGCCTGGCCTGCTGTTTTCACATTTTCAGGTTCCAGTAGCAGTGGGTCGACGCCATCGAACCAGACTTCCTCCTTCCTGGAATAAAGTAAACATACAATGCATTAAGATAAGACACCAGACAAAATGGAGTCCACATACTTAGACCTACTTGAGCACTGGGGTACTGGACGGGACATACTGTGCACAAGCCACACAGACAACACGAGAAACAGATGGGAAGCACAGAGCCGCCAACTGATTTTGTTTCTGCAATGCTACATGTACAAGCGCACAACTGCGCGGCACACACCAACAAAAAGGAGCAATGGTGTGGAGAAAGAGCAAAGATAGAAGGGCTCTTCCAATCACTCATCCTTTACATTTTTATCACGTCACGCTTTGGAATGTTATCTCTCTATCACACAAAACAACAATAGGTCAGAGTGCAGGAACGCTGGGCATTGTACTAATGTATGAGATGAGGGTGCAAAAGGCCATTAATATGCAACTAAGATTGTGCATTGTGGTATTCAGAGAGACCTGTACATGAGCAAAGGTTAAGGCAGTTTAAGGTAATCAGTAAATATGATAGTGCCATAGCGAACAAGCCGTTGCCCATACACCTTCAACAAATACCCAGCATGTGCTTACAGAAATTGTCAGGATTGCATAATCCTTTCTATAAAAATGATGCAGTTGACGTCAGGGACACACAAGTACATAATTTAGCCAGGACAGAACGAATCCATAATTATTGAAATATATCATTACAAAAATAAATCACAAAAGAGGGCAAAAAAATTATCGTACCGAGAAGAAAACCTGATTATAAAATATCTTGGCCACCTGTGTGCCTCAATATAAGTGCAGACAACAGCTTTAGCATTTCACCCCAACTAAATGTGGCTACCACAGCAGGATTTAATCCCAAAGCCAGCAGTACTCAGCAGCAGTGCTATATTGGAGCTCAACAGTGCAAATTATAGCTACTGAGGCAATTATACCAATATGCAAGTACATTCATGTTTAATAACTTATTCTTAGTGCACACTAACAAAGAGAGGGAACAACACCAGCGCTACTATCAATTGAAGGCTTTATTCAGAAAACGAAAAAACATATCAATGCTATCACCCACTGCCCATGCTCACCGTCATAGCTTTCAAAGTCTGGGGCTATCGCGGCATATCTGCTGCACTCATTATCCCCTTTAACAGCGACACTTCCTTTTCACAATAGTCACCGACCGGTGGCTGATACAAGATGATTACCTAATGTGGATGTGAAATGCTTCCGCGATCTCTCGTGTGGTGCAATCATGGTGGCCAAACAAAATGACTATTCGAAAAGCGTGCCTCACGTCCACACTTTACACAATTTATGGCCATGTGCATTAGCAGCCTGCCCTTCGAAGAATGAGTGGTGCTCCTTTAGGTGTATGTTTATGCAGCGACCAGTCTACCCCACATAGGCTGACCCACAGTGGTATGTGTGCGGAGCGTAACGGTATGCGGAGCGTATGTGGATGAGCGACTAACGGTAAGTTCGAAGAACTTACCATTATTGCATATTTTTACGGGAGAGAACTCCTAACAACTGGAACGCAGTGGTATCCCCTACCGTTAATTCCAACCGGGAGCTCCTGGTTTTCATTCATCTTTGCATCAGTTGGCCCATGGTGATCACAATTTATTGGAAAACCAAACCAAATCAAGCTTACTAGAAGCAATACAATGAAACAGCAGCATTTCTCAGCACATGAGAATTCAGGCGCTGCGTTGGAGCTCTTGGGCAAGCTGTGAATGATGCTGAGTTGTTAGAGAAGAAATGCAAGCAAATGCAAAGCACTGGTTACCTTTAATTAAAACTGTGTTAACTCTGTCATTCAATAAGAGTGTTTTGGAGCATAAAGAGTGTCATATATTTCCCGTTGAGGCTGACTGCTCACATGCATGCATGTCGCTGCTTGTTTTCAATGTATCACTGACCGACAACTCGGTTCGCTGTTCGAGGTCCGTGAACTCAACTTGCTATCGCATAGTTCATGATAACTCCTGAATTGGCTTCTGCCCGCGTAGTGTGTGTGATGTCTGCTCATTCTAGCACCTGGCCGCTGATTTGAACTCTGCTTAATACGAACAATTTTGTGGTCAAGTGATCAAACTTTTACAGTAGCGATAATACAAGTACAATATGCACATAAAAACAGTAATAGTTGTAGCACAATACAGATGCACAACTTACTTTACAGGTGCCAACGTAGAGCCATTCTTGCTTGCATCTTTTTTGCTGTGAACTGCCTTTATAGGCACTCCACTTTTGTTTCGGGGAGCAGCAACCTGGAGCTTCTATAAGAGCGAAATAGACCATAGACATACGTAAGAAGCAAATATGCTGAGTGCAGAATGGACACAGTAAAGCAGGTGGACACCTACAACAATTACTGTGGTATCCATTCTACACAAAATGCACTCATATACCTGAAGATTGCTCAGTAGCATTACAGATCAAACAGGAAGAAAAATAAAGTTAAAACCAGGTAGCGATCGAGAAATCATGAAACACTGCAGAGCAACTAAACAAACAGCTTTGTTTTAGGCACAGCCGCACTTAAGTTTCGAGAGATCCTTTTAGATTTTTTTTCTCAGCTCTCCTGCAATGCGCCCTTGTCCAGAAAAAATGGTGGTTAGTATGATGTTCCCTTGGCGCATTGCACGTCATCATCATTGCCGCGGGAGAGTGAAAACGTGCGTGGCACAATAATAACACTGCAATAACCATGCCATTACTGCAAGGAACCAGCGTTGTGGTGCATATAGAAATGTTACGCCACTTTGTGATGTATTGCACATGTTTCGTAAATTATACTGTTACACAGCAATAAGCTAGACAAGCCATTAAGTAAACCTTCTCAAGACTCTCTTCTCAGCTTGACAATTTCTCCCAAGAATTAGCTAGAGTCCAGCTGTTCACAATGGTTTTTAAGACTCTGTCTGTTACACAACACTTCGCGAGCAGTGTTTACATATAAGGAGAATGCATACAAAGAAAAAAAAAAAGAGTGCCCGCCACATCCAAAAGCACATCACTACATGTGATCTTGCCTAATACTTAGATGGCACAAAATACCCACATCTGCCGTTGTTACTTGCCAACCTTGGCTTCTTACGTAATGATGTAATGACCATAAGTGTTTACAATATGGCACAAACAGGTAGAATGGTGATAGATTCTGTGCGAGGGGAAACCTTTCGGAAATTCGCTATCCACGACCTTCCACCTTGAGACAGTTATTCACCGCATAGCTCACAATATTGGGCAATTGAATCACACTTAGCAGAGGGAGCATGGCTAGTGCCTGCACCAGATACTCATTTCACACATTAAGAGATTTCTAGTACACTACTTCTGCAAGAGTTTATCAAGCATCAGTATGCTCAATGCTATGCAATGACTTCATTTTGGCATTTTAACCAGCAGCTGTCCGGCAGCTGCAGCAGACTGTAAAAAATAGTGCATCTTGGCTTTACATTTTGGGAAATGAGCTTGAGTATTCAACAATTTCTTCAACCTTTGTTTGAGCTACAGTTCCAGGACAGCTTTCTATTGGTCTATCAGCTCATTTTTTTACATTTCTGGTGGCTAAACATGTTTTTGAATTCTTGTGCCTCCAATTTACATAGCTTTATGCCCACACACTGCCTGGCATGGCGATTAGTAATAATAATAACTGTTGGAGTTTAATGTACCAAAACCACCATATGATTATGACAGACACCGTGGTGGAGGGCTCCAGAAATTTCGGTCACCTGAGGTTCTTTAATGTGCACCCAAATCTAAGCACACGGGCTTCAAGCATTTCCGCCTCCATCAAACATGCAGCCGCCGCAGCCGGGATTCGCTCCCGCAACCTGCAGGTCGGCAGCCAAGTGCCTTAGCCACTAGACCACCATGGTAGGCAACATGGCGATTAGGAATTTTAAGCAACTTAAGACACGGAGACTGTAAAACGCTTGAGCTAATGATGCAATAAGCTCTATGTTTCAGATTCATGGCATCTTTTAGCAGTGACCCAAGTAAAGGTTATCATGAGAATGTGTAACTGCAATTTACGATAACCATCGCCTACAATGCCACCAAGAACCTTTTAGCACAAACCTAGTGTGGGCCATCACGGAATATCGCGATGTAAGAAGACTCAATTACTACATATTTTTATACACCCAGAAACGCCATCTTCAAAGTGCTCCCTACACGATTTCATAGATTCTTAACTGACTACTTTAACCACTGCGCCACGCCATACCATGTTTCATAGATTGCAGGCAATGCTTTAGCTGTTATGCAAGAAGTGATGCCACAACATGGTCTGTCTGTATAGTGATGCAGCTGGGTCTGCTATTTTGAACCCATCTGTTAATGTCTAAATTCTTCCCACCAGTTTTCTTGGTCTTCTATATACTGAGTACAACATAGTTTCCGCACTGTATGGGTGCTTTGAAAGCCCGCTGCCATGACTATCGGAGATTCTGTGGCAGCCCATTAAATGGTCACATCACCTTCGAAACGGTGACCTTTGGCTTGTTTTGAGATTTGGGGATCGGAAGATGTATGTCGGGCTAACTCCTCGGCTGATGCAGCTTTTATATAGCCCTTATGTGAGCCCAACAGAGTTATCGACATTTAAAAAAGCTATTATTAAATAATATAAACTACTTTAGACTGAAAATAGTACTAAGATCGAATCAATGAATTATTTTTAGGAGACCCAGTCCGATTACATTACAGACATACTTTATATGTCACACCACTGAATGCATTTCCTAGCTCATTTCCTTCTAATCTGTGGTGTGCTTAAACTCCAAGTGTTGCAAATGCAGCTTATGAAGGTAAGCTTGCAACATACAGCCTTTAATTTGCAAATGCGAACTTTTTGTGCATAACAGCTCTTTCATCACTGAAATATGTCACTCCCCTTGCTGAGTTGCCAACATACACACCTGCGACATGCTTGGTCTACTTTCTTCAAATTTTATCGACCAGGCCAACCAGCTAACATACATGGTGCTGTTGCAATACTGCATAAACTGTTTACCTCAGGCGTAAGACTTGGAAAATATTTCAGTGTTCAGAGCCCCGATTGGAGCATGCTTTTCTTATGGGAAATTCTGTCGGGAGAACAGGAGCACTGAAAAGCACGCTGAAAGTGCTCTGTTCAGAGCAACTGTGTTTCAGTAATCGAACAGGAGTAAGAGCACTGCCATGTGGTGGTAGGGCGAGAGCGTTTTTGCTGCACCAAGAGCAGTCAGGAGCAATTCGTAGTGCTCTCGCCTGAAAAGGGAAGTAGACACAGTCGATGAGAGTGATGTGACCTCATTTTTCTTCAGCCAGTGAGTGCAGCAGCAGTGGCAGCAACCACGTATCGATATGCCAATATTCTGGGACCCTGGTATAGGTGCCATTTGTACAGGTAGCGACGATAGGTCCATTCGATTTGCATGCACTATGTGAACCAGTTCACGAGGTGCTGCAGCTTGCCATTCATTTCAGTGGTACAGTATTGACGACCTCTGAACCCTGCCATTCATTTTGAAAGGTGCAGATGAGGTGCAGCACTAGTTCACGATTTTCATGTACCTCTTACACTGACAGTGCCGGCTTGGTGTAGCCGCGCGCGCAGCTGAGCATACGACGCAGTGCTTAGGCGTAGGTGGCTTAGGAGTCGTACCCGCCTCTACAATCGCGGTGTGTTTTGCCAAGATGTTTGTGCCTCACAAACTGTCCGCATGTGTGATTCGTCATCGGTCAGTGTTGGCTGAACGGTGTAAATTAAGCGAAAACAAATAAGGTCTGCACCTTGTCGATACATTGTCATCCGTTTGGGGTGTCGTGTTGTGCCTGCACCGTTGAACTCACCCGTGCATCAGCTGCATACACAGCCGTGAACCAGTTCTGACTGGTGCAGGTGAATTGAACGGACCTGATGATTGCTAGGAAGAGTATGCAGCTAGGTTGTTGCCCAAATGTACTGTGTGCGATTTAGGGTAATAGCAAAAATGCGACTGACAGATTTCATGCGTACTTCGCTGCTGTCCGGCACAGAACGCTGGTGTTTCGAATGTTTTGATGACATGGCCCACTCGTCACCATCTCACCTGTTTTCAGGAAGCATGCCACATTCCAGTGGCACGTAATGTGGCCCTGCCCCCCCCCCCCCTTTACTATTCCAGTACTGTTCTCTCAATGGAATTCGCCAGTCAGCCGGTTCACAGGTGGTAGCTGCATGAACCCCCAAGCCCCTTCTATCTCGCTCTCTTTACAGCTGGGCTTCACCTTTGCCAGTGTAATACTGCTACTTTCATGTTGTGAAAATGGGCCATTTCACCGGTAGCACTTTGTTTATACCCTCGGATTAAACAGGCAACGCGCGTCACAGCAAACGACCCAACAAGCACAAGCACACACAAGAAACAACATACCTCTTGGAGAGCTTTCCAGTTGCTCGAAGCGAACTGCAGCTTACGGGGAAACGTTGCCTGGGTACGTGGCCCGGCGGACGACGTGCTGCTGTCCGCAGGCTCGCCACCCTTGGTTTTGCCTTTCTTGGACGGCGAGTAGCCATGCTTCAAAGCGAGGTCGACGGCACTGTTCTTGCCCTTGGTTTTGCGCTTCGGCTGCCGAGGTGTACCTGACGGCGTAGTGGCCATGACGGTGCGTCAGCGAAATGTCTACATACAGCGACCACGTTGACTGCCGTTCCAACGGTTTTCGTACGACCGGGTCCTCTGGCTAGCGTGCTTAAGGACACCAACACAACAGGAAGCGACCGACAGTTCGCCTGCTGTCGGCGCCCTGAAGTCAGCTTCAAGAGAGCCTGTGATACAGACAAACTACTCGACGGTCCCGTCCCGACGAACGGAACATTTTCACACTGAGGCGAAACAGGAACTCGTCTATGCACACCGCCATTTATGTCGAACATGAGCTGGTCAGTGTTGCCAGTTTTGCCAGGCGACACCAGAGAGTTATGCCAAATACGGTCATACTACAGTGAACTAGAAGTAGTCATATGACATTTTCTTTACAGAATAATAATAATGATGATAGACAAATTTATTATATGAATCCTAAAATTACAGCCGTTGCGACACTCCCGTCTCGAACATGTCTGTGAAGCAATCTGTCGAGGCATTGGTCAGGATCATGAAGTAAGAAAAAACTGATCAGGATGAATGAATAAATGAATGCATCCAGCTGAGCCCTTTAAATTGGGTGATGACTTACGCCACCTAGTCATAAAGTTAAGTACTTTCATTGTGTGTTTAAGGATTGAATTTCACTCGCGCCTTGATTGTAGCCACCAATCAGCTAGCCTCCTTCTGGTTATTTCTACCCGTTTAAAGCCTATCCCGCCTTCACTGTCCATAAACCTCCATGCTTTGAAAAATTCGGCTCCAGTGTGGAGCCCTTTACAGAACATTTTCAAACACGGAGGAAGGAAAGGTAAGGAGCGGCCCTGACGTCACTCGTTGTGAAGCCGCGATGAAGCCGGAAGTCGGCCATATTGACTAGGCGAATTCTCCTCTCTTGTTTACATATGATTGCGAAGCAGAAAGTGCGACTCCCTCTCCGGCTCGGAAAGCACGTGGGCTGCGCAGCGCGTATGTCGTGACGATCCGAAACTAATGGAACGGGGCTCATCACTCTGAGCCAGCGGGACACCTTCAGCGAAATCGCTTCGTCCGAGTAATAACAGGGAGTAACAGCTCGCCGACAACGAAGCTACTACGAGAGAACGCGTGCTAGATGCACTGACAACAGCGAGTGCTTTCACGTCATTAATTCAGCAACTGTACAGACAACACGATCGGTCGTGCGCCTTCTACGGTTGCATTCCGCCACGCAACTGACGCAGCGTCCTGCCACTGTGTCCGTGTTCCGCGTGAAACTCACCTGCGTCAGCATTCTGCGACCGTGGTGACATTGAGCACGGTGCTAGTGACAGTTGAACGTGGTTGCTGTTACGTTGAGATTACATGCAATGCTGGTGGAGAGTGTACCAAGCGGAACAGAAAAGGTGTTTTAATACGCACATGCAAGTTGTTACTGTACACACACAACACGAAACTACGTATCTGCACATGGTCCTCACGGCGTCTTGCTGGGCTCAACAGCGTCGTCCGTTGTCACAAGCAGGAGCACTGCTCAACCGTTACTGACCTGCAAGGTGTTCGTCGTCACTCAGCTTCGTCATGGTGCCCAATGCCATTTCGCTGAACACTAACTGCTTCATCCGCGTCATTCGCCGCACGACACATGGATATGCACTTGTTCTATGCACTGTTGAAACCCCGTGATGGACAAAGGGATTTGTAAACGTTGCTGAGAGTAATGTAACAGCCAGGAGAACACTGCGTAACCAATAACGCGGCGCAGTGCACAGATATTGTCCGCCACGGCTCAGCACGAGACCTGGGGAGGCACACATTCCGCCGCCAGCCGCGGCCGCTCACTGCTAGATCAGCTTCACTGCGCAACACGCAACCATAACAACGCCGCCATTGTGCCTAGTGAATATGGCCGCCATGATGTCATTTCCGCCACATTTTTAAAACCCTGCGCCGGCTGGGCATGCCCTCTCCTTACCTTTTTTCCTTCCTCCGTGTTTTACGCCCTGCGCCGGCTGGGCATGCCCTCTCCTTACCTTTTTCCTTCCTCCGTGTTCTCAAACGTTCAGCCGTTTCCTCCTCCTCTTCACATGCAATGTGCCTGTGCCTTCGTATCTGGCTCGGTACGTCTTGGTCCGCAATACTCTCCTTCAGGGCTCGAACAGCAGAGAACTACCCCAAAAATTATTGTACATCGTTTCTTTTTCAATTTCCTGCTTAAAAGTTCAGTAGGTCACCAGGGATGATTTCGTAATAAGCATTCCCATCTTCCACATATGTCCCTCTCTTTTTCCTTCAGCTTCTTCTTAACCGATGTTTCCTTTTGGCTTGGTGTTTTGCTGTTGTCTAAATACTCGCTTGGCAGTTTGCTTAGAGTTAGCTCCCTCTATACATCTTTGGAGTTCACTTCCTCTATTTAGTATCGACATTATTCATGTACAAGTAGCTGAAAACTTTCCTAGCCCAACGCTCCTCTCCCATTTTCTCAATCGCTCCTCAAATTCTATCTTGCTGCTAGCTTCCCTGCACTCAAACGATGTCCATCCCATGTCACCCTGTACCCCATGATTTTGGGTATTCCCGTGTGCTCCCAAAGCGAGTCTACCTATGGCACGTTGTTTAATTTCCAATCTTTCTTGAACTTCTGACTTTATGCACAAGACCGCATTGCCGAATGTCAAACCCGGGACCATGACACCTTTCCAAATACCTCTCACAACGTCATACCTATTGTAGTTCCACAGTGCCCTATTTTTCATTACTGCTGCCTTCCTGTTACCCTCGGTCATTACGTATCTTTCGTACTCCCTTAGGTACTCAGCCCCGTTATTTATCCATACGCCCAAGTGTTTGTATTTATCCACTATTTCTAGCGTGACTTCCTGTATCTTATGCTCACAGCCTTTGTTATCATTAAAAATCATGATTGCCGATTTTTCCCTGCTGAACTTGAAGTTTAACCTATCTCCCTCATTACCACATATGTCTATCAATCCCTGAAGATCTTACTTGTTGTCGGCTATTAATACTATATCATCTGCTTACATCAATGCTGGTAATGACTGTTCAATGTTTTCCTTGCTTGGTAAAAGAGAGGCTGAATCCGAGCAAGGAGGATTAAAGAAAAATTGCTGGAGTGGAAGCTCCCGCAATGCCTTGCCAGCAGAAGTGAAGCCAGCTTTTGCCACTGCCAAGATGGCGGAAACATGCTCTTTTCTGATAGTGCCCACTTGAAGATCAAGTGGCTTTGATATGTTATGTAAATGCTGCGTTAGTTCTATATTAAAAGACAGTTGTTCCCGACCAAATAACACACAGAAACGAGTATGGATGACTGAATCTTCAAAGAACTTTGCCTCCAATTAGAGGCTCACTACGGAAGACTAGTAACTTTAAGACGCACTTGGAGCACTATGTGGCCCGAAAATGTTCCCACATTAAACTCGTTGGGCGTGCGAGGGAAACGCTCCGTTTTTAATCGCTGAACGGCGATACTTTATCATGCCCCTAGCAAGATGGCTGCCACAGCTGCCATCTTGCCAGAGGAACGGCTTCACTTCTGCGCAATCATTTCCACTCCAGCATTTCTTTTTAATCTTCCTTGAATCCGAGTCGACTCCCCTCTAATTTGGCTTCTAGTTTCTGGAGATATAACATAAATAACAATGACAAGGGAAATCCCTGTAAAAGCCCGTGTTGTATCTCTATAGGTTCAGATACCTGCTCCGTGCACTATAATCAGGGTTTGCGTAACGATGCGCCACCTGGAAACAACAGTAGTTTTTTTTTTTTTTAGGGTTTGCCGTCATTTCACTATGACCGAAGTTTGATGGTAGAACCACAGGCAAATATACTTTTTTAACTAAGCCCCCCCCCCCCCCGGCCACAATCAGAGTTTTTGGCCACAATCAACGTAACTACAATCAGCCAAGCACAAAAATAGTTGCAAGTTTGTTTGTTTGTTTTTTGTCGACACATGGCGCTACAATCTGCAAACTATATAGAAGCAAATGAGATAAATTGGGGGAGGAGCGTTGGGTTAGGAAGGTTTTCAGCTACTTGTACATGAGGACTGTCAAACAAAATGAACGAAACGAACCAGAAAATGGACGGGTAAATACTTAGAAAAGAGCAGGGTGTGAAACCAAAAAGAACTATAGGTTAGGAAGAAGATGAAGGAAACGAAGACCGATATGTTGAGAATTGGCATATTAAGAAGTCCGCCCTAGAGATCTATCGAACTTTTAAGCAGGAAATTGCCAAGGAAAGGATCTACTCGTGTTAAGCCCAAACTCCAAAAGCGCGAAAATGCACGCGACAGCGACGAGCGACGCGACGTAGATCGGCGTCGCGCGATCAGTCGCTAGCTCAGGCAAACCTCATTCACGCGACGGCTTCGGCGAGCGAATTCCACTGTTGCTGGCACGAGGCCGTCAACTCGCACCAAGAAAACCACGTAGCGAGTGGTATGCAATTTAAAAATAAGATATATTGTTGTGTAATGGAACGGAAAGTGTTTATTATTGCTTGCGTTATTTCTTGTTGCGCATACGTGACTCGGGCAGGGTCACGTGCACCTATGTAGTCTTCGTCTTTTCCGGTTTTTCGCTATTGGCTGCTTGAGCCCAGCACTTCCGGGCGATGAGCGACGGTTTCCAAATCTGGAGAACCGAGTGATCGCGCGAAAACGAGCACGCGACACGTCGCGCGAACGCCCTGTTTCGTCGCTCATAGCGTCGCTCGTCGCTGTCGCGTGCATTTTCGCGCTTATGGAGTTTGGGCTTTAGTTCTCTACTGTTTGAGGCCAGGACGGGAGTACTGCGAACCAAGACTTTTCGGGCCAAATATGAAGAGGTAGACGCGGTATGCAGTGCGTGTGGAGAGGAGGAAGAAACTGCCAAACACTTGATAACGTTATGTAAAGGGCTCCACTATAGCTCAGGATGACGGTGCAGAGTTTTTCAAAGCACTGGGGTTTTGGCACAGTGAGGGCAAAATAGACTTTAAGTGGGAGGAATTAACAAGAAGGAGGTTATCTGATTGGTGGCTACAATCAAGGCACGAGTGAAAATTAAACTCTTCGCAGCAAAGTGCCAGTGCTTAACTTCACCATTAAAAAAAAGATAAATTTAGTTTTTGTTCAGTAAGTACTACGGCTAGGTAGCGTTAGCCGCCGCCCGATCTAACGGGTACAGTCATATAATCCATCCATTTATCTATCCATCCATATTCTATTCGAGTGTTCGTTTTTATTGTGATTTTCGCGTAGGAGTGTGGTTGCTACACCTTATTAGCAGACTATGATGCACAGCATAGGCACGTAGCGGCACAACGTGGCAAGAAGCGCACTTGATACAAACACTGCATGGCCTCATAGAGTGATTTTATTGCTACTTCGCGCGCTAACACTCCTTCAACGCGCACGGCTGCAAGATTTGGCTAAGTGTGTCAGCCTTCCGCAGCCGCTCGCTGGATTTCAGGCCGACCGGTTGTGCCTCCGC